TTTAGTTTTGTTACCTAGAGAATCGTCCGCCTTTGAGTCACATCCTTCCACGTTGTTTTCCTTTGTGTGTGTGTGTGTGTGTGTGTGTGTGTGGTAAGTATGTAAATTGGTAGAATGGCTTGTAAACTATTTTGTAACTCATTTTCTGTGAGTAATATTAGTAATACATTTATTACTATAGACTTATACATTTGGTATTGATCTTCAGGGAAATTAAGTTGTGAAAGAATGCCTTTAGGAAACATATGTTTTTGGGGTTTTTTTTTGCGGTACGTGGGCCTCTCACTGTTGTGGCCTCTCCCGCTGCAGAGCACAGGCTCTGGACGCACAGGCTCAGCGGCCGTGGCTCATGGGCCCAGCTGCTCCACGGCATGAGGGATCTTCCCGGACTGGGGCACGAACCCGTGTCCCCTGCATCGGCAGGCGGACTCTCAACCACTGCACCACCAGGGAAGCCCAGGAAACATATGTTTTATATACATATAATTTAAAGTTGAGAGAAGTAAATTACTGTATCAGGTTTAAGTTTGACTGTATATAAACAGAAAATTCAGATAACAGTAGCTTAAACAAAATGGAAGTAACCTCTAGTCTCTGCTATAGTTACTATAATTTTATAGAACAGGATTTTGAAATATATGGATAATCAGATTTAATACTTATAACAAAATGCAGGCCTAGCTCAAAATATCTATGAAAACTTATCTTTCTAATTAGTAAAAGTCACATTGTCCCAAGTTTTATGTAGAGAATCATCGACTTCACATTGCTCAGTATTATCCAGACTAATTCTTAATTTTAAGTTTATATTTTGAAAATAAATAGATCCCTTTCAACTTGAGAAGTATAGCATAATTAACTTCCCACCTGGGAAAGAAAAACTATTTTGGGGATCATGTTTATCCTATCATTATCAACTATGTTACCATTTGATTTTTAAATATTGAGGTAAACCATTAATTTCTTTTTGGAACAATCCTTCTATTTTCATTTAAGTCATTTGTGGCTGATAGGAAATAACATTTCCAATGGAAATAATGTTTCAATTTCAATACCTTTTTAAAACCAAAGATAAAACAAGGTTCAGTATATATTTTCATATGGTAACTTTATAATCACAGTAATGTGTTTTCTTAATCTCCCCTCTATTCCCATATTATTTTAAACCAGGTGGCATAATCTGACTCTAATATGGTTATTCGGTATTTGTGTTACTACCTCCTACTATACCGTAAACTTTTGGAGGGAAGAAACTCATCTCTGTCCTCCCAACTCTTGAAGCTGTGTTATACTTGGAACCATTTGAGGTAACTCATCCATCCCCTTCTCTGAGAAAAGAACCCCAGCTACTCTCCCCTAAGCACAAGGGTGAGCTGACAAAGTCATGTTTATATGATGGGATGCCCAGTCTCCTGACCTTACCTGATCCGACTAAGTGTGCTCTCCTGATTCACATTAGACCAGTCAGACTCACTCTCTTAGAAAGAAATTTGGACTCTCCCATAGCAGGGAGCTATGGGGCGGCCATATTCCACTCCAGGTACAGAGAGAAGCACGAAAAGCCCATCTGCGTTAATTCTTTGGTTCAATAAACATGTACGGATTGCCTCTCCGTGCTAGGTACCCTGGGTCTGCCGTGGTAAAACCCAGCAGATATGGTCCTTGTCCTGATGGAACCTATAGACATATTATTTTTAAAAAAATTTTTAGATTTATTATTTATTTACTTTTATTTTTGGCTGCGTTGGGTCCTAGTTGCGGCATGCGGGATCTGTGTTGAGGCATGTGGGATCTTTCGTTGCAGTGCGTGGGCTTCTCTCTAGTTGTGGTGGTGGGTTTTCTCTCTCTAGCTGTGGCGTGTGGCTTCCAGAGCGCATGGGCCCTGTAGTTTGCGGCACAGGGGCTCTAGTTCAGGTGCACGAGTTCAGTAGTTGTGGCACGCAGGCTTAGTTGCCCTGTGGCATGTAGGATCTTAGTTCCCCGACCAGGGATCGAACCCATGTCCCCTGCATTGTAAGGCGGATTCTTTACCACTGGACCACCAGGGAAGTCCCGCCTATAGACATTTTAAAAAGATCTTTAATATCAGTTAATATTTGACTACAAATTTTGATAAAGGCAGTGAAGATAAAGAGCACGGGGCTTTGAAAGAGAGTAAGGGGTAGTTTGAGAAGCACTGATGGCCTCTCTGAGAAAGTGACGTTTAGGGTGAGCTGTCAGAACATTCGTGGTAGAAGAAACATTCCGTTAAAACAATCTACACATACTAGACGTTCAATAAATATATATTGAGGTGACAAATTATTATCCTTTAAGAAATAACTAGACATAGAAGTCATATTAATTGGTTGCCATAGGTTTGTGGCCATAAAACCTTCGTGTGAAATAGTATTTTTCAGGCCACGCAAGCTTGGGGCTGGCTACGCTGGAACATTTACAACAGAGTATTTATCTGTCTTCACCCTTGGGGTCCCTGAAGGGACTCCGATTCCAGATATTTCTTCCGAAGTATTCCCAGGGTGGGGCTCACGCGTGCTCTGCATCTTCCTAAGCCACCATATGGTGGGCATCATCTGTTTTTCTCCGAGTGTGTGTAGCTGTGAGGATATTTTTCTCATTGCTTGCCTCTGATGCTCGCTGAAGGCATCCCTGCTGCTGCTGCTTTTTACTAATGACTGCCCTGAGGTAGCTGGAACCAAGTGTTGAGGGCAGTGATGTCTGTACTGAGTTTGTCCGTAATAGCTTCAGAAATTATGGACAAGAATGCCGCTATAGCTTCTGTTCTCAATGTTTAAGTTGATATAAAATCCATAGGGCAGAAGTTCTTAACCGAGGTTCCATGGATGGACTTGAGGAATTTGGGGAATCCTTTGATTTGTACTCATATTTTTGGGCATGTGGGCATTTAGGGGTGGTGAAGTACAGGGGGCAGGAGAGGTATAGCTTTTTAAGATTCTCAAAGGAAAATCTTCACCTTAAAAGATTGGGAATCACTCTGTTACAAGCAAAGGAGGAGAGCTGGAAGTCAACCCATGGCTACTACTTTATGTGGAACCACCTGTCCATTCAATGTTTGTGTACTGTTACTGAACCAGATCTGCTTACTGTCACCTAGGGTGAGTTACTTTCTAGAAGTTTCCTTAGTTGTCATGGAAGGAGATTTCCAGTGGACATCGTGACACATAAGCTTGAATCCAAAGGTCAACACAGCTCAGGTTCCAGTTGGCATCCCAGCTACATATGTATTACATAAATAACTATAAAAATCCTATGTACATATCTTAATTTTTAAAATATATATATGTGTGTGTGTGTGTATATATATATATATATATATATACATAGTGACAATCTCCTAGTTCTTGAAAATGTAAAAGGAGATTTTCTCCTCTTACTTTCACCTAAATATAGAAATTATTTTAAGAAACTTACCTTAATTTTTTTAACCTTTTAAGTCATGTATTTTTTTTTTCTGCTGCAGTTTTTTCTTAGATGAACTTGACTTTGTTGCATTTCCCCCCTCAATCCCCTTTTTTCTTCTTCTACTTTTCTGCTAGTCTTCATTTAGACATCAATTGTCAAATTCATTTTATGTTCTTCCAGCAGCATAGTTTTGAACCTCTTCATTGGGTGGTCAAATTCCTGCAATTGCATGTGTGGGTTTTGCATCCCAGATTCTCTGTGCAAATGACTGAATTACCCATTATTCTTTAGCTATAAACATGTTCAACTATGCTTTTGAGAAACTAAACATTCCTAAAAGTATTTCATACCTCTTCTTTTCCTTAGCTTTAATAATTTGTCACTGAAACCATGAAAAACCATTGGTGGGAAAAACCGTTACTTCCAGTGGGAGGGTTTGAAAAAGCACCTTGGAAAGAATATATGCCTTCCCTCTGGAAGCTTGAAAGTAACTAGTTACAAATGAATGAATCTTCTATTTTCTTTATGGAAAATTGAAAAGATGCTTCAAGCTGTGTTTATGTTAGATTTGGCATCACACTGCGTGTATTGCAGTTACCGCAGAAGGAATCCTGTGTGAAATTACATGAAAAACAGTGGTAAACTGAATTTCATTTAAGTGAGTGTTTTTACAATTTAAATTTTGTTTCTGTTCGGTATTTTAAAAAATATATATAGTTCAGAGCCTTTCCAGAAATGTAACAGAAGACCAGAGAAAACCACAACATAGCAATGGAGACCGCCCCGAGGTGGATGAGACTTCCTGGGAGCAGCAAAAATACATTTTCCTCTTGATCTTGTTATTCTATCCAGAATTGGTAAACACAAAGCCTTTTCATATTATTTCAGCATCTTCGGAATTTGGGGTAAGTTTTTTCAGATCTTGGATAGTTATGAATGCAAAAAAAAAAAAAAGCAGTGTTCATTTTCTCCTTTAATTCAACGGTATTCACCTCTGGGTTGTGAGATACCAGGCAGTAAGTTCTCAGTTCTTTAGATTCTTTCAATGTCGTTTGTCCACCCTCTGTGAATATCCTACTGCAACCCCATGTTCTTTGCTCTTTACCCGTTCTTTCTCTACAGCCCCTAAAGTGTTCACAAGCTACTGTCCGAGCGGGATGCCTGAAGCAGCAGTGTCCAGCGCGTGGTCTGGTCATCTCGGGAGTCTCTGCTTGGGATTGGTCTAGAAACCGCCAGGCTGGAAAGCGAGCCGGAAGCTGCGCTGAGGGCCGGGACGTCGCCATGACAACGCCGCCCAGCGCAGGGGGGCGGGGAAACGCGAGCGCGGACGTGCCTGCTCCCGACCTGCTAGGCAGGGGCAGTAGAGGCCCGTAGCGTCGTCAGCGCAACGGCGCCGCGCGGCCTGGGGGGCGGGGAAACGCTAGTGCGGAAGTCCCCGTCCCCGGCCTGCTGGGCGGGGCAGCCGAGGGCCGGAGCGTCGCCATGGCAACGGCGCCGCGCGCGGCCGCCGGAGGCTTGGGAAATGGGGCGGGGCCTGCGAGCTGGGCACCTCCTCCCGTCCCACCGCCCAGCCGGCTCCTCCCACCCCCCGGGCCTGCTGCGAGGCTGCGACCTCTGCGCCGGCACGGATTTGAAACCTTTTTGCGGCGGCGGCGGCGGCGGCGGCGGCGGGGACCGCTCGGAAAGCTTGCACGTAGGGGCGCCAGGTTCTCGTTTTTCCGATTTCCCCTCCGGGGTCCCCACACGCGGGTTCTCGGGTGGAATTTTGCGCGGGGAGCGGTCGCCCCGTGGGCGGGCCCGGGCCTCTCTCCAGGCCTGTGGGGCGCGCGCCGCGGGGGCTTCTGGGCGCGGGCGGCCGCTGCGTCGCGGGCGGACTGGAGTCCGGGCCGAGCAGGGCGGGGAGGTTTTGAGAAAGTTGGGGCGGGTCAGCATGTCCGGGTCCGGGCACCTGACGGGGTCGCGCCCGGGCTCCAGGCAGGCGGGAGCACTTCCCCCCGGAGCCGGACGGCGTCCTGGGCCCTCGGGGTGAGGGGCGGCCCCCGGGACGCCCGGCCCGCCGCCGGCCCGCTGGCCACGACCCGGTGTCCCGGGTCCGAGTGTCCGAGGGACGAGGGACGTCCATGCGAGCGGCCTGTGTGTTGAGGGTCGTGCGTCCTTCCTGTTTACAGGTGCGTGGACACGGGGTAGAAAAGGCCGGTGCGGGGGCACGAGCCGCCCCGCAGGGCTCAGGCTGCGGCCCAGCCGCACCCCAGCCGTCACTGGCCCCCCCAGGCCTCGGCGTGCTCCCCCGTCTCCAGGGTGATGCCGGGGCGCGGTCAGTGCCCGGTAACTGTCCAAACACCCAAAAGGGCGAGCCGGGTGAAACAGGCACCTGTAAACCGGCTTCATGTACCGGAGGACGGTTTTCAAGTTTTGTGTAATGATCCGCCATCTATTTAAAGTATGGTTTGATTGAACAAAATTGACTTCATGCAACTTTGAGGAGTGTGTTTATTCGGGGCCTGATGTATGTGAGGTGTGTTCCTTGTTGAGCGGTGTGGCTGCTTTTCCCCAGGACCTTTAATGTTTGTGGCCCGCTTATGCTCTGCTGACCCCTATGACAGCTAAGCACCTTGAGAAGTTCTTAGCCCGTTTTGTAGCTGTCCACATAGACACAGGTTTAAAAAAAGACAGTGCCGGTGAGTTAAATAAAAGACATGAGCCAACTATACTATAGCTATAAGCAAGACTCACCCAGTTTACTTCCTTTTTTGCGTTTGCACTAATTTATGTGACTGGCAGGCACACTCTATTTTAAACCTAAGTCAAAGATACAGCTTTCCTTATTTTTTAATTCTAATAATTTAAATCTGCAATTCTAATAAATCGTAATAAAACTTTTTGATTAGCTGGGACTAAGTAGATATAACCTACTTATAAGATGTAATTTCTGTAGCAAGAATTCCTTGAAAGTTTGGAACGATAACTTAATTTTTTTTTCATTTTGTTGGAGAATAAATAAGGGATAGGAAAAGCTGAGTTTTAGCTTTTACCAAGTATCACACTGATTCTTTATAGTGCTTTTTAAAAAAAATGTGTACTCCAGTATCGCATGTTATTATAGCAATTATGATCGTCTTTCTACTTTTCTCCAACTTCTTTACTAGTTGGAGATATTGCTGATTCATATTTAAATGGCCAAGAGGTCAGATATGATGGATCTGAGAGCTAACGGTTTCAGAATTTTAGTTTGAGCTTTATGTTTAATTTCACGACTTTGGGTCTTTTTACTGAGTTTTCGTTTCTCTAAACACTAACATCTCCTGCCTGTGTCAAAGGTTTGTTGCGAGTTAGTGATTATTAGGAATCTTTTTGTCTAGCTGCGGGTGCTCTCAGGCATATGTTAGAGTACATGGGCAGGATGAACTGTTTTAAGCCTGGAAATACACTTCCAGGTCAAAGCTGTGCTTAAAATTCTGGGTTTTTGAGTTTCCATTTGTTTGTTCATCCACTTGAATAGTTGCTTTTCAGCTTTATGATCTAACATCCAGCAGTGGTATCCTAGCCTTCAGTTGCCAGGTACGTAACTGATGGAGTTACGTATGAATGCACCTAGTTACTGTAGGAATGCAGAACAAAACCACACAACCAAGCAATGCCAAGCCAACTAACCAGTCAGCAAATGCGCTTAAATAAAATTTATCTTAACCAAGTCTTGAATTTGAAATATGTTTCTTCTACTGTAATGCAGAAGGTACAACAACCGGTTTTGGTAAATAGAATTAAGGGCAATAGTATTTCTATTCTAGGGGACCTATTTGGTACTCAGAACAGAATTAAAAAACAAAACAAAACAAAACACAGGCATGCCTTGTTTTATTGCGCTTTGCTTTATTACGCTTTTGCGTTTTTTACAAATTGAAGGTTTGTGGCAGCCCTGCCTTGAGCAAGTTTACCAGTGCCATTTTCCAACAGTGTTTGCTCATTTTGTGTCTCTGGGTCACATTTTGGTAATTCTCACAATATTTCAAACCCTCCACCCCCGAAAAGGTTACAAATTGCTGAAGGCTCAGATGATGGATAGCTTTTTTTTTAGTAATAAAGTAATTTTTAATTAAGGTAAGTATGTACATTTTTTTACCCTAATGCTATTGAACACTTAATAGACTATAGTATAGTGTAAACATACCTTTTATGTGCACTGGGAAAGCACAATGTTCGTGTGACTTGCTTTATTGCGATGTTTGCTTCATTGCTGTGGTCTGGAACTGAACCTGCAATATTTCTGAGGTTTGCCTGTATTAGGCATGTAAAAGTAAGACATTAATCCCTTTAGTTAGCTTTTATTTACCAGTCGATTGATTCTTCAGCTTCTATTATGTGCCGTGTAATGTGCTAGGTACCTACTAAGATGTGTCAGTCACGGTCCTTGCCTTTCAGGAGCAACTCACAGATGGTGGCAGACCTGAAAATAGTACACAGATGTGTAAAAAAGAGGTAACAGCGTGATGAATGCCGTGGCACAGATGTGAGCAGTACACACTAAGATGGAGAGATGAGTCTGGGATGTGTGGGGCAAGCTCTACTCTGAAGTGATGTTTGAGTTGCATTTCTTGATGAGTCCATGCAGCGGGACAGCCTGTGTGATCCTGTAAGGGCTTGGATGTGTTTGCAGAATGGCAGGGAGTTCACTGGTGGGGCATGGTCATCTGTGCACATGTGTGTGTGCGTGTGCGTGCGTGTGTAGGGAGCTCAGAAGGCAAAGGCCCTGGCAGGCCGGCCTAACTTTGGGTTTGGATACTGTCCCGTGGCAGTGGGCGGTGGAGACAGGAAGTGATGTGCGGAGCTTTGTACTTGGGACATCTCTGGTGCCAGTGAGGACTGAAGCAGGGAGAGTTAGGGTGAGTCGGCGGTGGGGAGGGCTTGCTCTGAGAGAGCGGCAGTGAGAATAGGCACACAGGCAGGTTCTGAGACCTTTCTGAGCGTTTGTTGCTGTGTTGGCTCACGGGGCTTAGCGAATGGGGACGGCGGAGGGGAAGGAGTCAGTGTGAAACAGCGAGGAGGCCCCTGACAGTGATGGAGGTCTCGGCGGCAGGGAGGACGGTCAGCGCTTCCGACGCGGGGGTGGGGGCGAGCACGTGAGGATGTGTTCCCGAGGAGGCGAGTTGGGCGGTGGAGGGAAGAGCGTGCCGTTTTCCTCCCAGGAAGAGGTGAGCTTCCCACGTGGAGAGTCAAAGGAGCTGCAACGGCTTAGGGGCTTGGAGAGGGCTGGTAAAAGTTTCAGGGCTGCCTTGTGGACGGCGAAATGGGAGAAAACGGAGGATTGCGGTGGGACCTCAGGGCGGTGCCCGTTTTCTCCAGCAGACCCTCAGCTGAGGAGCGAAGGACCGTGTCGAGCGGTCGCTGTCGTGCGGAGTAGGGAGGAAAAGAGGCCGATCGGCCGGAGGGCGTTTTGGTGGGCGGCAGCGATGCGGGGGGAGCGCTGGGTCCAGCCCGCTGGCGGGGGCCTCATAAGAGGGGCGTTGCGGGCGGGCTTGCGAGAGCCGTGGCTGGGAGCGGTAGCGTGGACGTCAGAGACTGCTTCCCTTCCCGGCACGGCTGCCTGCCGGCGCGGGGGGAAGATCCCCGGCAGGGCTCGTCGGGCCCCGAGGGAGCCGCCGGCCCACCGCCGCGAGCTGCGAGGGACGGCCGGCGGCCGGACGCAGAGGGGCCGGGTCCAGGGCCGTCCGCGCAGGGGCTGCTGGTGTTGAGGTGGGCGCCCTGGTGAACGTTAGGGGCCCGCTGAGCAGAGGGAGGGCGTCTGTGGAGCAGGGCCGCCGCCGAGGCACACCGGAGCCTTTCCCCAAACGTGTGGTTTGTAAACCGGCCAAATGACAAATTGGGGACCATGCATAGCGTAGAGATGGTGCGCATCCTTACCAAGGCATTTCGAACCTAAGAGGAACATGTGGACTCTTGGGTATATTTTTAACGTAAGAAATTTTGTCAGAAGCTCTGTGTCTGATTTTGGGGGTCCACCCCCTTCATTTTCAGTGGTTTTCTTCCTGATTAGGAAGAAGTACGAGGACTAGTATTTTACGTTTTTTGATGGAAGTTAAACATTTTACATTTACGTACGGTTAAAATCGCTTTCTTGGTGTGCAGTGTGATGAATTTTTACACAGACTCAGAATGGGTTTTTATGACCTCGGGCGCAGAAGGCGCGGGACAGTCGCAGCGCCCCGTGTGCTCTCCTTGCGCCCCAGTGCTAACCAAGTGCGCCACCGAGCTGTTCTGTGTGCCTGTAGCTTTTGCCTTTTCCGGGATGCCGTACGAGTGGGTGTCGTCGTACAGCACGCGGCCCCTCCAGGAACGGCGCCTTGCGCGTCGCGTACTCGCGCGTGGACGCTCACCCGTGTGGCGGGGCCTGTGGGCGCTTCCTTCCTCTCTCTGCCCGAGCGCTGTTTCGTCGTGTGGCGAGGCCACCCGGGGGAGGGACACGTGGGTGTTTCCAGGGTTTGGTGGCTACAGAAGAAGAAAGCTGCTAGAAACATTACATCCGGGTTTCTGTGCGAATAGAGATTTTGCTTCTCCTGAATAAATGCCCAAGAGGGGGATTTCTGGCTCCTCCGCTAAGGGTATGTTTAACGGGGCGGGCGATGGCTAACCTTGCCTTCCGGAGTGGCTGCACCGCTCTGTGCTGCTCCCAGCAGTGCGTGAGAAGGCCTCTCGCGCTGTGCCCTCAGCAGCTTTGGTGGTGTTTGCCTTTTTAATTTTAGCTGTCCTAATAGGCAGGTAGTGATATCTCATTGTGGTTTTAATTTGCATTTCTCTAATGATTAATGATGTTAAGCATCTTTTTCACGCGCTTACTTCTCAACTGTACATCTTCTTTGGTAAAGGAACTAATTTTTTTTGCTGATTACTTTTATTGGGTTGTTTGTTTTCTTATGGTTTAGTTTTAAAAGTTCTTTATGTATTCTTGATATAGGTCCTTTCTGAGGTAAATGATTTGCAGTATTTTCTCCCAAGCTGTAGCTTATCTTTTCAACTCCTGGAAAGAGTTCTTTGCAGAACAGAAATTTTTCATTTTGATACAGTCCAATATATCAATTTTTTCTTTTACAGGTAGTGCTTTTGGTGATGTATCTAAGAAATCCTTGACTAACACCAAGTCATGAAGATTTTCGTCTGTTTTCTTCTAAGAGTTTTATAGTTTTACATGTTACACTTAGGTCTGTTATTTATTTTGAGTTAATTTTTGTATACAGAGTGAGGTTATTTGTTGAAATTTATTTATGCATATGGATCCCCAATTGTTACAGCATTGTTTGTTGTAAAAACTATCATTCCTCCATGAATTGTACCTTTGTCGAGTGTCAGTTGTCCACATTTGTGTTGGTCAATTTCTGGACTCTCTGGTTTGTTCCATTGGTCTATGTGTCTTATCCTTTCACCAATACCATATTGTCTTGACTACTGTAGTTTTATAGTGCATCTTAAATCAGGTAATGTGAGTGTTCCAAACTTGTTCTTCTTTTTCAGGATTGTTTCTGCTATTCTAATTCCTTTAACTTTCCACGTAAATTTTAGAATCAGCTTGTGTATATCTACAAAGAATACTGCTGGGATTTTGATTGGAATTGCATTAAATCTATAGATCAATTTGGGGGTATTTAATACTACCTTTGATCTCTTTCATGAGTTTTGTAGTTTTCAGCATACAGATCTTAATATTTTAATTTTAAATCTTCTACAGGCTGAATTATGGAAATGGGAAGCGAAGAAGAAAAATGGGAGAAGCTGGATGCGGAATTTGATCACTTTGTGGTAGATATGAAGCCCTTTGTTCTAAAATTACCCCATAGGTCAGGTAAGATTATGTTTGAAAATTACGTTCTTAAAATTAATTTTTTTCTTTGTATTATTTAGTCAAACCCATGAACTTTCAAAATGAAAAGTGGATTCATTTAGTAACAGTTTTCATCTTAAGCTGGTAGAGGATTGTTTACCTTGAGCTGTTGGAGGGTAAACAGAAATTCAGTCATGGTGAACTACTGAACTGTGGAAAGGTATTATTACTGTGAGACCACTTCTCACAGGTCATGAGCTTAAATTGCATGGGTCTTTAAAGTTAGCTGTAACTGTTTTTTCCTGCGTCTTTTTCCTCCTACCATGAAGATGGTTCTTCTTTCAGGAGCCTGCTGTCCACCTGTCTCTGACCCTTTTGTTTATCAAAGCAGAAAAGAATCTGTTAGTCTTACATGCTCATTGGTTGACTGACTAAAATCAAGTGTGAATGCGTTTTTGTTGGCATCTTGTCTGCAATTCCTAACCTTTTCTCCTCTGTGAGTCTTTGTCTCAAGTAAAAAAGGTTTATCGGAGAGCAGTTGAAGAGAGTTTGAGGGGCAGGGAAGACCCTCTGAGTCATAGTAGGCGTAAGGCTGGCCGTAAAGGTAAATCTGATTTGGGAGCTTTTGCGAGGAGGGTTCGGAGTGGGACCAGGAGACCGGCTTTTACCCCAGTGTTGTCCAGGTTCCCTGTTTCTGTGAGGTGTCTGAGTCAACTTCATATTCAACATGAGGAGCCGACTCAATGTTAGATCTTTATTCCAGGGATCTGCACTGGGAAAAGGGAGCGCAGTGTATGAGTTACGCATTCTGTGGTCACCCATCGTACCAGGCAGGGCCTGCAGCCTGTCTGGGTCCAGGGTGGCTTGGCATGGTCTCCCCTTCACGCCTCTTCCTCTGCCTTCTTCTCTTGCCTTGTTGGATGGTAATCTCTTCTTTCTTCCTCTGCTTTTCTTAAAATGAATATTTCCTGTCCCGTGGCTCATTCACGATTAGTTGAATTAGTATTTAATGATATTTCTATACTGTGTCCTCTTCTGATACTCACTGCCTTTTTTTCCTTCTTGTCTTGGATCTGCTGATTAGCATAAGTGTATATTAAAATCTCTCATTATAAATGTACTTCAGACTATCCTCATATTTCATCTTCTTTTTTTTTAAAGATGCAGTATCACTTTTTAAAAATTAATTAATTAATTTATTTTTGGCTGCATTGGGTCTTTGTTGCTGCATGTGGGCTTTCTGTAGTTGGGGCGAGTGGGAGCTACTCTTCCTTGTGGCGCATGGGCTTCTTGGGGTGACTTCTCATTGCGGTGGCTTCTCTTGTTGTGGAGCACGGGTGCTAGGTGCGCGGGCTTCAGTAGTTGTGACTCACGGGCTCTAGAGCGCAGGCTCAGTAGTTGTGGCGCACGGGCTTAGTGCTCCACGGCATGTGGGATCTTCCCGGACCAGGGCTCGAACCCATGACCCCTGCATTGGCAGGCAGATTCTTAACCACTGCGCCACCAGGGAAGTCCCTCATCTTCTTTTAAAAAGGGATTTGGGGTACATAGAATTGGATTAATTGTAATCTTTGGTTCATGACTCATTGTCAGTATGTATTGGTACATCCCTGACCCTCTTTTATGTAATTAATTCATAATGAATGCTCAGAAACTCACATCCCAGTCAAGAACCTGAACATTCATAATAACTTAAATTTCATTATAGTTAACTTCTACTTTTGATAATGGTTTTCGCCATTATTTTAAATAGAGGAATTAATTTTTTTCATTAGCCAGATTGTTGTACTAAGTTCTATTCGTCGACTATTATATGGATCTCAGTTTGCTGCAGGGCACATAAACATATAGTTTGAAAAACTGTTTGCTTAAGTTTATCCGCTTTAGTTTGTATTTTCTTTTTGCACAAAGTACACCTGATATTTCAAGAAGTTTGTTTTGTGATTATATAATTTTCAAAGCTAAAAGTACAAAAGTTATTTAGAGACTACCTTTCATACGTGTAGTGATAAATCCAGTATGAGCAAAGTGTTAAATCTGCCCCAGGGATTTTTGTAGGTAAAACAATAAATGAATATGACCTTTAGAAACTAAGACATTGAAGCAGATTTATGATTTGTGTTAGATATATAATCCTCAAATTGAGTTAGACTGATAAAAGATTAATGTCAAAATGGTTTTCCTGAGACCTAAAAACAATTCTGTGTCGTGGTAAGATAAGATAGTCAGTAGGTCATTATATGTGGATCAAACTGTGCTACATTTTTAAGGTAGCTTTTAAAGGGATAATTATTTTTCAAAATTACATGTAAATATGTAACCCTCAATTGTTTTTAGGGAGGTTAAAAGAAATTCCTAAATAAATCATCCACAAATCCCTGAAGATTACCAGTTTAATAAATAAAACATTTGAGATTCAATTTTAGATTAGGTTAAAAATGCTAAATAAGATTGCATTCGCTCTCTCTTGGTTTGTGTAATGAGAATTACAGAAAGATTTTTCAACACAACTGAAATTATTTTAGAGATGGTTTTACAACAACCTTTTTTTTTTTTAAACATCTTTATTGGGGTATAATTGCTTTACAATGGTGTGTTAGTTTCTGCTTTATAACAAAGTGAATCAGTTATACATATACATATGTTCCCATATCTCTTCCCTCTTGTGTCTCCCTCCCTCCCACCCTCCCTACCCCACCCCTCCAGGCAGTCACAAAGCACCGAGCTGATCTCCCTGTGCTATGCGAACAGCAACATTTTTGTCTCAGATTTATTTGGTAGCAATCCTGAGATCTTATTACTAGTTTAAAGTTAAACTCTAGACCAGGGTGGGTTGGCAAACTGTAGCCCTTGGGCCACATCCAGGCTGCTGCCTTTTTTATAAAGTTTTATTAGAAAACAGCCATAACCATTTGGTGACGTGTGGTGTGAATGGTGTGTGGCTGCTTTCATGCTACAGCGGCAGAGTTGGGTAGATGTCATATGGCTGCAAAACCTAAAATATTCGCTGTCAGCCAAGCCCTGCTGCAGACTAGAGCAGATGTTTTATGGGTCTTTAATGTAATGTTTTATTTTTTGAAAACTCAAGTCTCTAACAGCTCCTCTGTATTTCTAGAGCGGCAGAGGTGTGCACTTTGGATTAGAAAACTGTGTGAGCCTTCAGGAACAGGAGCAGGGGTCACAGGCAGGAGGAATCGGAATCTGTACGCAAAGCTCTTACTACACATGCTCAGGCGGGGGGCTCTCGAGGGCCCTTTCACCCACCGCCCTGAGCCAGGGACGCTGAAAACTTTACCTTCATACATGGTAGGTGTCTTTGACCCAAAAGATGCATTCGTTTGTTTCTCTAAAAGTGTCAATTTATCATCCCATTTGGGAATGGTCATATTATTAAGCTACAAGTCCTAGAAAATATGTTAGCTAAAACTATTTTTTTGCTCCCTGATTCCGTTTTTTTCCACCTTGAATGGAAATCAGATATTGAGCTCTAATGGAACCATACTTAATTGATTTAGTCATCCTGCAGTATTCTACAATATTTCTAAAAACATTAAAATGAATTTTTAAATATTGAGCCTTAATTTCCCACTAATTTTCACTGGATTATGTAATAATTTATGGATGTCAGTAAATTCTAGTTTATTAAGCTCTTCTGTATGTATTATTTAATGTAACGAGAGGTTGGATTGAATTACCTTTTTTTTAAGTTTTTACAAAAAATTTATTATTTATTTATTTATTTTTGGCTGCGTTGGGTCTTCATTGCTGCGCGTGGGCTTTCTCTAGTTGCAGCGAGTGGGGGCTACTCTTCGTTACGGTGCGTGGGCTTCTCATTGTGGTGGCTTCTTTTGTTGCAGAGCACGGGCTCTAGGTGCACGGGCTTCAGTAGCTGTGGCACGCGGGCTCAGTAGTTGTGGCTTGCAGGCTCTATAGTGCAGACTCAGTAGTTGTGGTGCATGGGCTTAGTTTCTCTGCTGCATGTGGGATCTTCCCAGACCATCGTGTCCCCTGCATTGGCAGGCGGATTCTTGTTTTGTTTTTTTTTTATTATTTTTTGGCTGTGTTGGGTCTTTGTTGCTGCACGTGGGCTTTCTCTAGTTGCGGCGAGCGGGGGCTTCTCTTCGTTGCGGTGCGCAGGCTTCTCATTGCGGTGGCTTCTCTTCTTGCAGAGCACGGGCTCTAGGCGCCCGGGCTTCAGTAGTTGTGGCGTGTGGGTTCAGTAGTTGTGGCTCGTGGGCTCTAGAGCACAGGCTCAGTAGTTGTGGTGCACGGGCTTAGTTGCTTCGCGGCATGTGGGATCTTCCTGGACCAGGGCTTGAACCCGTGTCCCCTGTATTGGCAGGCGGATTCTTAACCACTGCGCCACCAGGGAAGTCCCGGCCCATCTATTCTTAATGACCGAAGGTAGAACATTTTCTGAAACACATTCAGATGTTGAAATATGAGTGTATTGTATCATGCTTTCCCTTTCACACTCATTTTATGGAATTGTAGGAAAGGGCTTTATTTTACTAATGTTAATAATGTAAAGGCCTAGAGACCTGTCTTGGATTTTTCATCTAGCTTGTGAGATACTGCAGGATGACTAGAAATTTTTATTTCTGGTTTTTATTGATTTTGGTTTCTCTGCCTACTGATTTGTGTGTGTGTGTGTGTGTATGTGTGTGTGTGTGTGTGTGTGTGTGTGTGTGCAGAGTAGTTAATGATCACAGAAAGAAATAAGAGAGCACATGATTTAAAAAGAACTTTTCACTTATCTTTTCATACAGCTAATATTCCTTTTGTAATATAAATCATTATTATCAGATGTATCTGTCATGTAATTTTATCATTTATCAGATTTCTTATACAGCACAACATAACTAAAATGTAAATAAGTTATCCATTTTATGTATTTTAATATTTCATTGAATGATACATTTTTATATATTTTTATGTAATTGAATTTGAGTATTTGAAAGGTTGTCACTAAACTTGATGGAAATCTTAACTGATTATCTCATATAGTACATTTTGAAAAAATAATTTTTCTAATTTTTAAAAATCAGTCCATCTATTTTGAAGAACCAAATCCAGCACAAGCCAAAGGATTGTCCAGCCCAGAAGGATTACCAGACTGGGTGATGGGCGAGCTGGGGAACGGTGAGCACAGATTCAGCGAGTCACGGACGCTTTCTTCTGGAGAAGATTGCTCTTTGGTACAGTCACCGACCCATGTCCAGAGGTACGCCATGAACTTGGGGTTTCAAGTGTGTTTCATTATTTAGCCCATCTTTGGAACTGGTTAGTACATTCCATTTTTCCATGTTTTTTTTTATGATAAGCAGTTGGTTTACTTTATATTTTTGCTATGAAGTTGAGGGCTATGAAGGAATGTTGTATAGTTAAAATAACAGTTTTGCTTTTCCATTTGTTGTATATTCAAGATTATAGTATGTTTTTAGCTGCTTTTTGGATATATGTTAAATATTTCTATCTAGTCCACTGCTTGGAAAGTGGTGCCTGAAAATCTTTAAATGACACAGTTCTCTGTTTCCCTTTATGACAAGCATGAATTAAGAACATTTCACTGACTTCAACCAAGTATAACATCCTCCATATCCATCTTGAAGCTTATGCTTGAATTTCTGTCCTTTTCCCCTCATTGAACAGTATTCGTTTTGATTTAATAAAATAATGAATGCAAACATAAACCCTATTAAACTGTGCTTTCTTACTAGAGTACTAAGCTTAAATAGGATTTTTAGTACAAATGAAAGTGAACTTCTAAGTTTTTTAAGTATACAATAAAACAGTTGTTGTTGTAGTATAACTTTTGGCCTTTAGGACGGATAGATTTAAATTGGAATTTTATCAGATTTTGAGTTTTACCTTTGGCACTGTTCCCTGAAATGTTAAAGTATTGGACGGTGTCAATTCATACATCACTCCTCACCATTCTCTTGGTAATTTTAATTTTTGGAATTTGAATAGGTTAACAATGTAATCTTTCTTTTCTGCTATAATTTTTTTTGGTTTATTCCTTAAAAGATACAGCAATCTGATAAGTAATTTGAAGTGTCTTCGTAGTTGTTATAGTCTGGTTATGTTTTTCAGACCTCAGGTATTATGGTGGAAAAGAACAGGTGAACAGAAAGCAAGAGATCCAGCCCATATGAAATTTTTTTATTAGAAAGGGGAAACAAATTGATATGGAACAGGAAGAGGTGATATAATTAAGGACATGTTTCGGAAGAGTGAAAAAGAATGAATAGATGAGTCCATAGCAGGTGGTATTAAATACTAATTTTTGCCTTCCTAGGAGATTTAGAAGCAGAAGAGGTGTGACTGGAATCTTTGTTAGCTGTGTAGCAGTAAGTTGGGGTGTAAGGAGATTGTGGTCTCGTTACAGAGACTGAGGCAGGGACAGTGTTCTTCCTGTCTGCACGGTATTTCCAGTGCCTGGCCCTGGGCGGGCACCTGTGACCAACGGTATGAGTCTTAGTTTTTGGTGAGTGCCTACATGAGTCAGTGAATGGGCTGTTAGGCAGTGCCACACATTGAATTTATTATGGACACAGCCTCTTTGAGACAGGCATATTGTGGCAGAGAGAATGGCTCGGCTCACAAGGATTTGCTAAAAGTACTGTTAGAAAAAGTTGAGGGAAGGATAAATTTTAGAAGAAGTTAAGAGATGTGTGGTTATAGGCTACAGAGATGCCCTGTGTGTGTCCTAACCTTTTTATATTTTTAACAATGCAATTAGTAAAGGCAATGAAGGAACTGGAAAAGACAAGTCTCTTTCTAGTCAAGTGTTAGAACTTCACTAAGGCCAAGGCCAAGTAGGGCTGCAAAAACAAAACTTCTCAGGGGTATCTTTACTTACATGCTTCTCTTAACTTAACTTGATCTATTTAAAAATTTTAATTTGCATGTACATTAATTAACAGATATTTGTAATTTTACGTACATGAAGGCACTTAAAAATAAAACTAACATTTACTTCATCTAAAGGCAATACAATTGATTTAAGACCAGATACAAAATGTGTGAGATCAGATCAGTAGTGGTGGTGGAATCTATTGATGGCCTGTCTTCATATTTTTTTCTGAAGTTGTTCCTTTGCTCTGAGTGGTCATACTGTGCTGCTGAAAAAGTTAGAATCTGCTCGTGTTGACCTAATACATCTCCTCCGTTCTGCAAGGAATTGTTTAAAAAGTTTAAGAGGCTTATAATATTTGACACATGTATGTTTTTGTAGTGAATAATTTATTGTTACTTAGAACTGAAGTTTAATGCTGCCTCATAAATGTTACAACCACTTCAACTTGTCCTTTGAACATCCTCTTTAATCTTAAAAGATTTTCCCCCTTAGTGTTTCTTTTTTGATCACTTTATAAAATCCTGCTTTACTTAGACCTTTTTGTATGTGAAGTATTTCTAATGGCATTTTAGATTATGCTGTTTGTGTCCTAGCCTTTTTATATTATTAAAGATGCAGAGTCCTTTTGAAGCCTCTTTGTTAGGACTCCCTATTCAATAGAGATGGCACCTTTCCTTTACCTTTATTCTTCCTGTAGGATATGGCATGTAGCCTCATTCTAGACACATTAGAAGTATTATGAGGTCATATTCTATCAGGCTTATTATCATGCTTTTTTCCACCAAATACACATTGCACACTAGTAAACTTAGCATTTCACTTCAGACAGTTTCAACACATAACTAGTCCTGTCCTGGTTTTATCCTTTGCTTTCCTTTTTCATAGTTCTTGGTGTAAGCTTATGTTATTACCCATGGTTTATTTTATAAAAACCACTTTCCAATTTGCCTTGCCATTTTATTAGAGCTCTTCTATTGTATTTAATGTCAAATAGCTGCTTCCTTTCTTGACAATGAAATACTTGAATTATATGTGAATTTGGAGCATGGTTTTACAAAATGTTACTAATGAGACCATAGACATAGATCTCCTGCCTGTACCGTTTGGTTAATTTCATTTAGACAACCATGCGATACATCCATATAAATTACTTCCCGGTCATCTTTCAGGTGCTTACCATTGAGAGATGGTAAAGATCCTAATTGTCTTTGTGGTACACAGAGTTTCAGGTGGCCCCGAGATCCTGCTCTGGGTGTTGACAGCCTTGTACAGTCCTTCCTCCTTGAGTGTGGGCAGGACCTGTGAGTGGCTTCTAACCAATAGAGTATGGCAGTGGTGATGGGCTGTCACGTCCATGAATACATTACGATACATAAGACTCTGCCCTGCTGGCAGACTGGCTCTAGAGGCTTGCTGTCTTTTCCTTGCTGGCTTGAAGAAGCAGGCTGCCGTGAATCCCATATCCAGAAGGAACAGAAGCTGCTGACAACCGTGACAGTGGGGAAGCAGATTCTTCCCTCATTGAGTCTCCGGATGAGAACCCAGCTCTGGGCAAATCCTGATTGCAGCCTTGTGTGGCCTTAAGCAGAGGACTGAGCTCGGCTGCACCTGCACTTCTGACCCACAGAAACTATGAGAAAATGTATGTGTTGTTTAAAGCTGTTATGTCTGTGGTAATTGGTTATGCAGCAATAGATGACTGATACAGTTTTTATCCTCATCTTAGAAAATTATGCAGTCTATATATGATGCACGCTCTTTGTAAAAACCTCAGTGTAGAACTATGAAGGGTAAAAAGAGTCCTTCCCTCCATGTTCTTGCTTCACTTCCCTCACGAGAGGTAGTTGGCATCAACGATTTGGTGTGTATCATTCCATAGTACACACATACCCACACGTATGTAATTAAAAATTATAGGGCTTCCCTGGTGGCGCAGTGGTTGAGAGTCCGCCTGCCGATGCAGGGGACACGGGTTCGTGCCCCGGTCCGGGAAGATCCCGCATGCCGCGGAGCGGCTGGGCCCGTAAGCCATGGCCGCTGAGCCTGTGCGTCCGGAGCCTGTGCTCCGCAACGGGAGAGGCCACAGCAGTGAGAGGCCCGCGTACCGCAAAAAAACAAATAAATAAAAATAAGTTGGCTTGTACTACATGTATTGTTCTTTTGTCACTTAACTGTGTCTTAATCCTGTGTCACGTAACCTGTGTAATTTTTTTCATCACAGATAATAATCCATAGCATAGATTTACTGTAACTTACCCTTCTCGTTGCTTTTGATTCGTTAGTGTTAAAAGAACGCCTTAGTTAACATCCTGGTACATATGTCATCATGCTCCTGTGTGTGTTTGGGCTATTAGTGATGCTGTAGCTGGGCGCAGTAAAACATTTAATGGGTGAGCTGTTGGTGGGATTATTAGTAGGTTCAACACCTTGTGCAATGGTAACAAAAATATATGGGCTAGTATGGAATGATCTCTAAGATGTATAAAGTTCAAAAGAAGTACATAAAAGTGTAGTAAGCTTCCATTCGTGTGTGTGTGTGTGTGTATTTTAAAGAGGATATATGGATACGTATGGGTACGCGTGCATGGAATATTTCTGGGTGCCACGTACGAAACTGTTTTACCTTTAGGGAGTGGGAGTAATCTGGTGTGAAAAGTTCAAAAATTTTTTGTACACATGTCTATGTTATTTTTAATACTCACACATTTTTTGATAGATGGTGTCAAGTTGCCTTCCAAAACACTATCTTATTAAAATGCTTGGGCATACACACTGTTTACAATAGTGATGCACATTAATAAATCTAACCATATATAGCAAATATACAGATTTAAACATAAGAATGAAATTTTCCCAAGGAACAATCTCAATGTTTGTGGATTTCACTTGTATTTCTAGTTTGTTAAAATAGGAACCAAGTGAGGCAAGTTGTTCGTTTATGGAGCACCTACTGTATGCTAAATACTCTTCTAGAAATCTTTTGTAAGTTATCTGATTTCATCCTGTCTGTAATTCTGTGAGGTTGACAAAATTGCCCTTTGTATTTATTGATGAGGTAACAGCTTCAGTAAAAGGTCAATAAACTTTCCCAGTGATGGATTCAGTATTGGAATCTAGGTCTTTGTGATTCCAGACCCCATATTCTTTCTGGTGTTCCATGTAGGCATGAGTACTTTATGCAGCAAACATGGGAACTTCACTATAATCCATTTTTTCTCCACTTGAGCTGTGTTAGCAATCTTGGGCGACTATACCTTTGTTCTTGGTTATTTCTAGGTTGAGCTGAAATGAGGCAGTTTGCCTTTGCTCAAATATCACTTCTGACACTTGGCAACCATGTATCCTCAGGCAACTTACTTACT